AAGGAAATGATCAACCACTCCAATATCTTTGTCAAGAAAACCCCAAATGGGGTCACATAGAGTTGGACACAACTGAAATGACTGAACAATAATGAAAACACATACGCAGGTAATATTGATAGATGGTACAAGTATGATACAGAGGTGCAAAATAAGAGACTTTGTGAGGACCAAGAGGTAGCTTATTTTGGACACGAGGCTCAGAGGACATTTCCTGCAGGAAATGGCATTGGGGTTGGACTTTAGAAGGTGCACAGGGATTCAAAAAGCAGAAGGCATTCCAGGCACAGGGAATAGAAAGGACAAAGGTGTGGAGGTGAGGAAGCAAATGACCTGTTAGGTGGAGGGAGATGGGGGAAGAAGAGGGGAAGGTAGAAGTTCAGGTTTGCTAGAGCACAAAGTGTAGGTGGAGATTAAATTGGAAAGGTAGGGTGGTACCAGTTTATAGAGAGCCTTAGATACCAAACAAAGGAATTTAAAACGTGTTTAGTAATAAGGAGACACTGAAAATGTTAAGCTGAGAAACCACCTGCCCAGATCTGTACCTAAGGAAGGATAGTCAGGAAGCAGTATGGGGAATAGAGGGAAAGGGCGAGGGAGTAGTGGAAGCTGAATTAATGAAAACGTAGGGCTCCATGGCAGAGTAGAAGTAGCTGGAATTCAATGCTAACCAGAGCTAATGATGAGACAGCTTGCATCAGATTTATTGTTTTTACCCTGCAAAAGCCTTTACTTAATAGGAAAGATAGCTTAAAGAAAGAGCTAAATAAGTAGAACCTAGAATAATCATTGCATTTTTTCAGAGCAACTAATCATTGAATAAGTAAAAAAGATTTAATGAGGTACCATGTGCATATGCAGCCTTTTTTTCATTCCCTAACAAGGGCTGAAGATCCCCAGGGGGTTGCTCAAGCTGAGGATTGACCCACCAGCCTTCAGGGACTGACATAGGCCACCAGTAAAAATGAATTTGGTGGCAAAGATCTGGTGCCCATCTGGAGATTATCTCAAAAAGAGAATACCACTAAATGTGATACATGGTTTCCAGTCAGAAGGCAGAGGCTGGGCCTGGAAAGGGCTGCCTTACTTAGAAAGGCTGTTGGAGGTAACCAGCTGCACCCCAGGAAAGGCGTCCAGAGGTCAGGGGTAGCTTTTCAAAGTAACATCCGCAGGTGCCTTTCATTGGACATGTTCTGAGGCAGTAAGAGATGGAGAAAGATGACCGGGCTGGCTGAATAGAATATTATTGGCTCCCTCATTTTCACAAGTACAGATGCTCATGGTTTATTTTTAGGAGAGAAGAACTGTTGATAAAACTTCCCACACAAAGCTAGGGGGAGGCTCATTTTTGGGTAGGCTTGTTTTTGGAGGCACTGGTACAAGTCTGAAAGTTGACATCAGATTGTCTTGGGGAAGAAATAACAACTGTATATGATGCAGGTTCTCTGGGGAATGAAGCCATCTTTCCCTTCAACATCTCCTGCAGACCCAGCTAGGACCCCAGTTCAGGCCCATGTCCCATCTCACTTGGGCCACCGCAGTGGCCTCTTAATCGGTCCCCCTGCTTCTCTTCTCTCCCCTCTCCTATCCATCCTCCACATGGCTGCCAAAAGTAATTTTCCTAAAGTACAGGTAAACTCCAGTGCCTTCCTACTACTTCCAGGACCAGATATAACATCCTCTGTTTGGCATTTAAAGCTCTTCCCAACCCGGCCCCGCCTGCCTTCTCATTCTTCTCACATTCTATACCCCACATTAAGGGATCCAGCCACTCTGGCCTACTTGTCGTGCTTCACACACAACATTCCATCTCATGTCCTTATAGCTTTGCACTGGCCGGTCCATGCTTAGAAAGCTCTTCCTCCCAACCTCCAACTCTTAGAATCCCTGGCTTCCTTTAAAACTTTGCTCAATTAACACGTCCTTTGGTTGTTCATTTGTTTCAGTCCTATCTGACCCTTCATGACCCCATTTGGGATTTTCTTGGCAAAGATACTGAAGTGGTTTGCCATTTTCTTCTACTGTTCATTTTAAAGATGATGAAACTGAGGCAAACAAGGTTAAGTGACTTGCCTAGGGTCATGCTGCTAGTGTCTGAGGCCAAATTTGAACTCTGGTCATCCTGACTGCATGCTTATCCGCTGTGTCACCTAGCTGCTCCACCATCTTCTATGGGAGACCTTTCTTGGTCTCAATTCCCACTCCCTCCCCAGTTACAAGTGCCTTCCCATCTAAAAATATCTTCCATCTACTCTGTATTTATCTTGTATGTTCTGTTTTTTATAAGTTGTCTCCTCCATTAGAATGTAAGCAAGCAAAGGGGCAGGGAATTTGGTTGGGTTTTTTTTTTTGTATCCTCAGTGTTAGCATAGTGCCTGGGTGTCATAAGTACTTGATAAATGTTTGTTGATTGGTCAATTGCCATAAAGTACCATGTAAAACCTTAAAAGCACTATATAAATGTTGGGTAATAATTATGGTGGCAGCAGGACATAAATGATATTTATTAATAGATTATGGCCCTAGTTGCTTAATCCTCTGTTTGTGCTTTTGTGATGAAACTCTTTTGAGGGGACTAGGGTTCCCAAAGGCATAACCAATAGCAAGCCAGCCTCAACATCCAGAAAACCTGCCACTGACACATTCTAGCTATGTGACCCTAGGCAAGTCACCTAACCTAGTAACCTCTAGGCTACTCTCCAAGACGATACCTTGCAGATCAAGTGTCAATATGCATTATTAGAAAAAGTTTCCTCACTTGGAGTTCCCCATGCCAATGAAACACAGTCCAATTAAAAAAAAATATTCCCTTGGACCAGTTTGTTAAGTGAGTTTGACTCATACCCTTGAGGCAGAGGAAAGATGCTAGATTTGTAGTCAGGAAACTTGGGTTGAAATCCTAGCTCTGCCTCTGTGTGACTTTTGGCAAGTCAGTTAACCTTTCTGGGCCTCAGTTTCCCTAGCTATAAAATGAAGCAATTGGACTAAATTACCTCTTATGTCCCTTTCAGTTCTAAATCTGTGATGTTATAATCATTAGTAGCTGGTTATTTTGTGTTAATTACAAATGCAAAATCAGTGAATAGAACCATGAGATATGGAGAAGAGAGATTCTCTTTGTGATGGGAAGACAAAAATCAAGTGATTGCCTAAGAATCTATCCTCCGATTATAATGGCCTTTCCTCAGTCCTCATCCTTTTTGATCTCTCTGTTGTTATGGACACTGTTGACTACCTTCTTTTCCCTAAGAACTCCTACCTTAGTTTCCTGGACACCACTGTCTCTTGGATCTTCGTTTACCTGCCTGATCACTCCATCTTAATTTCATTTGCTTCATCATCATCTGCCTCCTAACCCCTTAAGCACAAGTTTCTCAAGATTTCATCTCGGATGTTCTTTCTTCTTTTCCCATACCCTTTCCTCAGTCTTAGTTGTTTCCATAAAATCAGTTATCATCACTACATAGGTGACTCCAAAATCTCTGTATCTATCTCCAATCTCTATCTGAAATTTCAAGCTTGAAAGTGTAAGCTAGATATTATCTTCTGCATACCTTTTCCTTGGACTCAATATATCTCAAACAGAACTGACTTTACTTCCATATATATAGATGTAGATATGTATGTATGTATATATGTATATTCCATGTTTTCTATACTGAGTATACTGTACTCACTCCCTCCTCCACATTCCCCTACCTATTGGGAGTGCCACGCCTAGTCACTCACATTTATAACCCTGGAGTTATCCTGGATTCTGCTCTCTCTCATCTCCAATATACAATTAGTTGATAAATTCTTTGGATGGCATTTTTATATCCATCTTCTCTATTCATATGGCCACCACCCTAGTTTGGAACCATTTTCCTTCTCAGCCAGACAACTAGAATAGCTTCTAATTAGCTCCTCAGCCTCCAACCATCATCCCTCTGCAATCACAGTTGCCAAAATAGTCTCCTTGCATCATAGATCTTATCATTTCTGTACTTAAGATCCTTTGGTCCCCATTGCCTGGAAGATAAAATTCAAATTCTTCATCTTAATTTATAGTCATTCATAAACTGTTTTCAACTAACCTTTCCAATCTCCTTTCATATTAGTCCTTTTCAGGTACTCTACACTCCAGCCAAAATAGATGACTTGCCATTCCCTCAATTCACCCTTCCATCTCCTGACTATTTGCATTTTTATAATCTATCTTGCATGCCTACACCATACTACTTACCTCCCCTCTACTTCTCAGAACTTTTATCTTCCTTCAAGGTTTCATTCAGGTGCCATGTTCTCATTGAAGCCTTTATTGATCTTCAATTCTCAGTTCCTCCAACTGCCTTGTATTTTCTCACATATGTACATATTATGTCCATCCTTTCCTCTCCCCATACAATGTTAGCTCCTTGTTGAGGACAGGAACAGTCTCACTTTTTCTTTGTATACTTGCCAAGCACAGTACCTTCCACAGTGTTGAGCTGAGCTGAATTCAGTTTGCTCTTTGATTGTGAGATGAGTGAAAGAGATTTGAGTGGTTTGATAAGAGAAAAAGAAGCCATAAGTCTATGTTAAAGTAGCCACCTGCTCATCTGAAATGCTTTCCTATTGCTACTGATATTTTAACGTAACTTGAATAAAACAGAGTTTGATACAAGAGGTCAGGTAAGCAAGTGAGCTCTTGTGTTTGAATATGGATTAGTCATGTAACTAACTGGCCCAGGGGCTGAATTTTCCACTATCTAAAATGGCAAATGATGTTGCTTGCATCCGGCCAAGATGTAATGTGACCATATTGTTCTGAGACTTACTGCCCTTGTGACACTGGGAAAGTTACATTAGCTCTCTGGGCCTCAGTTTCCTCATCTGTAAAATGAGAGGGTTGGACTCAATGACATCTGAGGTCCTTCTAGTCCCAAATCAATGAACCCATGAGCTTAGAAGGATGAAGCCTCTGTTTTACCTTGGAAATGCCCTCATACCTGATTCTTTCCTTGACCTGCTTGTGTCAGATATCGTGGACATCAAGCCAGCCAACATGGAGGAGCTCACGGAGGTCATTACGGCAGCAGAATTCCACCCACTCCACTGCAACACCTTTGTATACAGCAGCAGTAAAGGGACAATCCGACTGTGTGACATGAGGGCATCAGCCCTTTGTGACAGGCACACGAAATGTGAGTAGAGTCCATGAGGTGTTGTGCACAGGGGAGTGGGGGAGATAGGGAGCAGGCCACATCTAAGAGGGGGATTCCCCTGGGGAGAGGGCTTGGAAAACCCTCCACAGTATTGTTCCCACTGTTTAGATATAAAAGATGTGTCTAGGAGTGGTCTGGACCATTTAACAGCAATAAAAGATGAGTATCCTTTGTCCTGAATAGGGCTCCTTATACACAGCGTGATCATCCCCATCAACAGGACATTTGGAACTTTGAACATGGCACCTTGGTACAGAGTGAAGCATCCCCTTACCCTGGGTACTTGTCATAGCTATTGTAGCTCTGAGTTGCACCCATGGACTTGGGCTTTTAAAAGCAGCTGAAGATGCCTCACGTAGTATCCAGTACAATGCTTGTTGACTGACTACTGACTGGCCTGGCAGACAGAGCTGAAGAATAGGCAGAGTCAGGCTGACACCTGGCTGCTCCTGGGCACTCACTTTTGTAAAGGAAGACCTCTTCAAGGCCAGATAATCCTCTCACCTTGTTTAAAGGTTGAGCTGAGTTGACAAGGCTGCTCCTGGGCACTCCCTTTATAGACAAAGCCTCCTTATGATAGGGGCATTTGAGGGTTTCAGTCTTGAAAATTCCTTTAGATATATTTAAGATGCCTGACATGATGTGCCCACTCTTGTTCTGAGCACTGGGAGGGATCCTGAAGACACGTCAGAGAGGGTTCCTGCCTTTAAAGTTCTCATAGACTGGTTAGAGAGCTGAGATACTGCACATCCCAGTCATGATCAACCAGCAAGCATTGATTAAGTGCCTGCTGTGTGCCAGGCACTGTGCTAGGGACTAGGGGGTCCAAAAAGTGAAACAGATTCTGCCTTCTTGGAACTTACAATCTAAACAAGGGAGGAAACATGTACATATCGAGGTAGATATAATCAGTAAGACAATAAGTACATCATAGAAACAAGAGAATTTGGGGAGGAAAGAGCTAGCAGGTGAGACAGTGAGGAAAAGCTTCATGTAGAAGGTAGTAAATGAGCTGATCCTTGAAAGAAACTAGAGTTTCTAACACACAGAGGTGAAGAGGGAGGGAGGGAGAGAAAGGGGGGAAGAGAGAAGAAAGGGGGGGAGGGAGAGGGAGAGGGAGAGAAGGGGGGAGAGGGAGGGGGCAGAGAGAGAGAGACAGAGAGAGAGAGACAGAGAGAGACAGAGAGACAGAGAGAGAGAGACAGAGAGAGACAGAGAGAGACAGAGAGAGACAGAGAGAGACAGAGAGAGAGACAGAGAGAGAGAGAGAGACAGAGAGAGAGAGAGAGACAGAGAGAGAGAGAGAGACAGAGACAGAGAGAGACAGAGAGAGAGACAGAGAGAGAGAGAGACAGAGAGAGAGAGAGAGACAGAGAGAGAGAGAGAATGAATGCATTCCAGAGAGAGGAAGGAGGGATAAAACAAAGGCATGGAGGTGATGAGAAAACAATACAGGACAGTATAGAATCAAAAGCCCAAACATCTCCTTCAAACTCCAAGTTCTATGTACAGCCAGGAAAGGGAGAGGTCTCTGTGGTCTACAAGTCCTGGAAAGGAAACTTTAAGGGAAAGGTTCTTCACGCCAAATTCCAGAGTTAATAGATGGTAGCGTCTTAACATTTTAGGTCTCATTTTGTGTGGATTCTCTCAATCTTTCTAAACGATAAAGGAAGCAGCTTCCTCATTTCTTTTTAGGGGACATAAGAGTGGTCTTTGACCTCCTCTTTCTGATATGGCTTTGAGACTGAGCATGAAGGACAAAGAGAGCAGAAAGTGAAAGTCTTTCATTCTCAAGCCCTTGGTTTTAATTTTTAAGCCCAAAGCACCATACCTGATGTGATTGAATGTGTAGGGCTGAGGGGGGAGGGGGGCCATGGAATGGAAAGTTACTTTCCTGCAGTCTTATTTTTGGTCATTTGACTTAATTGGCTTATTTTTTTCCCAAAATCTTCAAGCTTGATCATTGTGAAGAAAGTAAAACATCCAAGCATTACTGAAGTTGTCTTTACAAAATTCCTAAAAGGGCCCACGTTAGAGACCTGGAAGGTACTGATGTACCTTCACTTTTGGAACATGAGTGGAGCTGGCTGAAGGACTTTAGTACTGAGCTTCAGACCAGGGTTCAGCCTCAGTGTGATCAATTAATCAACCAATAAGCATTTATCAAGCACTTTCTATATTCCACGAATTGTTCTAGGTATTGCTAGGGGTGCAAAGACAAAAACCAAACAGTACTTGCCCTCTAGAACCTTGGATTCTACCAGGGGAGACACTATGTACATACAGAGATGTACACAAGGTGTCCCAAAAGACTTAGTACAGTTTTAAGCTACTTAAGCAATTAAAGCTTAAAACTGCACTAAGACTTAAATGTGCAAAACAGCTCATGGCTTTTGTGGCAAAGGGAAAACAAGCTGATAGTTACAGTCCTATCTTATGTCAGAATTGCATGAGAAGTCCGACCAGAGAGAAAAAAGACAGGGAGGATGATGTGAAGGTTTATTCAAGATAAGGAAGGCCTGCACTAATTGAAGGAGGGAGGGAAGAGCCAATGGAAAGTATTAGACCATTATTACTGGGGTCTATGGTCCTAGGCAGCCAGATGGCACGGTGGCTAGAGTGCTGGGTCTGAGTCAGAAAGACCCGACTTCAAGTCCTTAAAGCCTCAGACACTAACTAGCTGTGTGACCATGGTTAAGTCATTTTACCTCTGTTTACCTTAATCCACTGGAGAAGAAAATGGCAAATCACTCCAGCATCTCTGCTAAGAAACCCCCCAATGGAGTCACAAAGAATCAGACGCAACTGAAACAAGTGAACAACAGCATCGACTGGTAGAAGCAGCATGGCCCTCGTGTGATGCACAGCCAGCGGGCTGAGCCAGCCCACAGAATGAAAACACAATTAAACCTGTTGCACCAGAAAGAAAAGACTGAAGCCAGGCAGACAAAAGGGGTCAGTGCCTGGGGGGGCAAGATAGGGCATTAAGAATTGGGATGGGGTTACAGAAGTAGTGACATTGCACCAAAGACTCTGAGGATACAGTGACTCCATCCCCTCCTATGGGTTAGCTTCAGCTCTCCCTTCTCCATGCGCCCTTTCCGTGCATCCCCCTAGCAAACCACAGAATCTTTTCCACCTAAGAATAGTCACCCCTCTATGGCTACTGAGGATGTCCTGGAGGACTCATAATCCAGGCTTTCAGGTTCAAGGAGGTCCCGAGTATTCTACCAGCCATTGAGGTACGATGGAAAGACAACATCTGGTTCATGTCTGTCTTCTAAAGCTTCTAGAAACTCAGACAGCCAGATGAAACAGTGACTAGAGTGCTGGTCTTGAGAATCAAGGAGCTGTTGCTGTTCTTAAGTTGCTGAGTCTTTTTCAATCATGTCTGACTCTTCGTGGCCCCATTTGGGTTTTCTTGGCAAAGATACTAGAGTGGCTTGCCATTTCCTTCCCTAGCTCATTTTTACAGATGAGGAAACTGAGGCAGAGTTAAGTGACTTGCCCAGGGTCACACAGCTAAGAAGGTAATACAAACTAGATTTGAACTCAGGTGAGTCTTCTTGACTCCAGGCCCAGCACTCTATCCACTGAGCCACCTAGCTGCCCTGAGTTCCAGTCCTGCCTCAGATGCTTAATAAATCTGTGACCCTGGACAAATCACTTAATGTCCCTCCACCTTACTTTCCTCATCTGTAAAATGGGAGAAATAATAGCACCTGCTTTAAGAATTGTTATGAGGATCAAATGAGATCATATATTAAAGCACATTGCAAACCTCAAAGCACTATAAAAATGCTACTTTTATAATAATTAATATCACTACCTGTGTGACCTTGGGCAAGTCTCAACCTCCCTGGGCCTTAGTTTCTTTATTTGTAAAAGGAGGGGGTTGGACTATATGACTGCTCTAGCTCTGTGATCCTATGAGAATCATGGAGACCTTTGCCCAGTCCCCCATGGCGACACGAGCACTCCCATTACACTGGGTGGCGTGGGTCTCCAGAAATCACTGACCCCATCCAATGCCTGCACTGCTTGGAAAGACCAAGCCTATGAGACAGACCTTGGGGAGGTTTCCATGAGTCTATCCAGTGAACAGCAGCCGCTACCTAAAGTCTTACTCCTTCCGGCTTCCAACACCAAGAAAGATTCGACTTCCAAGTCCATTTCCTGGTACAACTAAGAGTTAACCAAGTTCCGTTTTCCCAGCTTCTCCAGAGCAGCAGCTTTCAGGGTCTCAAATATACATCCCTTTGTTCAGCAGTGGCTGCCAAACTCCTAGCCCCCCTCCTCATAGACAGCCAATGGAGAAAACCAGTTCAATCTGACCTCTCCCCTGACATTTCATATTGATTTTCTCTATCCTCCCAAAGCATTGGCCTTCAGTCAATTGCAGTTCAGCCTACATGTGAGACAGAATTGAGACAGTTCATCAAAGTTCAAAATGAAAAGCAACACTGGCTTTCAGAGACAGCCCCTGTGAACAAGGATATTTAATAACCGCTGGTATTTAATCAGAAGGCAGAGGATTGCCATGTTATCAGGGCTGTATGGATTAATTTCCACCTGGCTCTCTGTTGGAACCCAGAGAATATTTTGATGAGTACTTGCCTTTACCCTGAGGACTCTGCCTTTGTGTGCACACACTGGGGCCTGGGTGTGGGCAGCAGTTTCATGTGGTTCTCCAGAACCCAGAGCACCAGATCATTTCCCAGCATTTTGCCAATATTGGTCCTGTGTGCTTGCTACATAGGTTAGGGCCAAGGAGGATGGGGGAGGGGATGGATGGAGAGAGACAAAAAGAATGAAGGTAGAAATACAGAAAATCATGGAAAGCCCTTCCTTCCTCCCCCACCCCACCCTCCCCAGGTATCCTAGCTCTAAACAGTTCCCAGTGGACTGGGTAGTTAGCTGGCATATGGTAGCCATCATTCTTCCGACTTGGTCACCACAGGCCTATGGATGGCTTCTAG